TGGACCTTGAGCTGAATTTTTTTTATTTTAAGGATATATTGAGTAAATTAATTATACTGAGTAAAGCCCAAACAAGACTGACCCTGGTGATCACACATAGACCAAATCCATGAGTGCATCTCATTAAAATAAAGGTTCAGAAGTGAAAAATGTATATTAATCCAAAACTTTGCATGTTGCCCCAACCAAAAATTCTGTGGGTGAAAATGTGTCTTGAGCACTCATTCAGCAGGGGAGGAGAATGTCCAGGATCAGCACTTCCCAATAACCTCAGGCACCGCTCTGCAACCACTGAGCTATTCTGAAGACTCAAATTGTCCACTAAAAGTACCAAAACACTCCCCAGTCAAAAGTGGTCACAAACCCACAGCTTACTCTTTTCTTTGACCCATTTTGGGAGTTCTCCAGTTTGATTCCCCATGAGTAATGTGGAAAGGCGGAGGGAAAACTACCTACCAAAAATAGTGGCAGGGGAAATTAAAAAGATTGATATTTTGACTATGAAGCATATCAGAGAGGCTGTGGTGTGAAGTACTAATGATTACATATGCTGCAATGGTGAAGTGAATAGAAGCAAGGTAGCTGAAAAGGAAATAAAGTTGAAAAAACATGTCTGAAAGTTGGCGGCAGACTGACTTTGCTTTGATTGTCTAAGGAAAAAGGAAATGAGTTATCAGAAACTCTTTCATATGCACTTTCACTATCTTGAGAAAGCAGTGAGGAAACAATATGTGTGAGTAAGTGGTATACAATTCATGTGAAGCACACAGCTCACATCCAGGTTTGGGTCATATTGTGGTCATGAGCGTCATATCCCAGCCAAGTTTCACAGAATGATGAAATCCTGTAGAATATCTTGGATAGTGACACTCTTTTTTATGATGCAAGTTGAACTCATGAAGACCACAAAACAAAAGTCAAATCACATTTTTGCACTTTTACTGACTCAAACATAGTCTTATTATTCTGGCATCAGGAAGCAAAAGTCAAAACACTGCTGCACTCTCACAAATACCTGGGAGACCACCTCCAAAACAGGCTTGAGTAGACTAGAAACTCTTCCTCTCTTCTGTCCCTGTGGAAGGACTCCAACCCCACCTTGGTCATAGCAGGCCATAGCTACACAAATGACACATCTACAACTTGAGAAGAAAAGACACAGCAAGTGCAAATTGTACATGCAACGACTTAATTCCCATTTGCAGGAACCCAAACTATTGAACATATACATTAGACAACCAGCAAACAAATTTAACTGGCAAAGTCAGGTGATCACCAATGTTATGACAGTTCATATTCTGAGACCATGAATGTCTGTACAAACCTCAATGGTAATCCATTCAAAAGCTGTCTGTCTGGACCAAAGTTCTGGACCAACCAAATGCCCCTTAATTATGCCATTAGTGTTATTAACATTTAGAGAGGTATCTGACTAAATATCCAAAATAACTAAGATGCAGGACTTTTAAAGATATCCAACATTTGATCATAGATAAATCATTTGACTGGCTGTTGTCATACATTTTACAGATAGTGAGGGGAAGACTTTGTTTGGGGAGAATATAAGTGGGCTTAGACTAATGCCTTGGGGTGTCCCAACATTGATTTTGTGAAACATGTGACACGATCTGTCTATGGAAACATAACAAACAAAGGCATCATATCTAGAACACCAACAATTTCATATTACAATCAACATTAGTCTCATTTTATTCAGTTTTTCAGATTAAGGCAGAGGCATTAACACTGCTATTGAAAAGGACCAAGCATGGGGCGTCGAGTAGCTCAGTTGGATGAGCATCCGCCCCATGTGTAGAGGCTACAGTCCTCGCTACAGATGGCCCTGGTTTGAGTCCCGCATCGGACAAGCCCTTAGCTGCATGTCAATCCCCCTCTCTCTGCCTCCCCATTTCCTGTCTCTCTCTACTGCACTATCAATAAAGGCACAAAAAGCCCAAAAAAATACATTTAAAAAAAAAAAAGAAAAGGACCAAGCACAATATTTGAAACTGGCAAAATAACAATAACAAGTTGACTTAGAAATATGAATTAATTGTATTCAAACTAAAATTGTAAGTTTGCAAACAAACCAAGTTATCCTCTTGCTTCAGAAGTAAGCAAGTCCTGTAGTAACTAAGCCTCTCTATCACTATCATCAAGTCAGCAGGACAAATTTCTAGCTTTCTTGAGACATTCTAAAAAAATATCCTGAGACGATATTTAATTATTTTGGACACAAGTCAATACAGGGGACTGACAGATTTAACACCTAAAGGTCAGCACTTTGTATCTTACAGTACATTGTAATGCTTACTCCACCCTGACACATGACTCCTTGAGCATACGCATTTATTCTTAATAAGGAATAATGTATCTCAATAGTTCCTCTTTTCTTGGAAAGTGAGATAACATGACTCGACAATATATGTTTTGACTGTTTTAACTTACTACTATATTTTCTTAACTTCTTAATTGTACAGTGTAGAGAATAACAAATGTTAATCGGATTCTTGAAAACATTTTGTAGAGGATGACTGAACTGATTCTCATCAACTCACCCATTAGGCAAAGGGGTCGGCAAAAGATGAGAAGCTGAAAAGATCAGCCAAACAAAACATTAGTAAGATTCCTTAATGAAGACTATAGCAGATTTCATGGCCGTGCTGGGGCCATAGCTGAGCGTGGTGACTGTTTCATTGTGACATCACAAATTTATGTAAATCCTAATTGTTTGTTTCTGAATATGGGCTGTATGCATTTCTCCATGGATTTAGTGTTTTGATAATTTCACAGTGTTTAAAATAGCACTTATACCTGCTTTATAATCAAAAGACATGGAAATCTCACTTTGTAAATTATGGGACTTTTAATAAAATTCTGTAGATCTGAGCTGATCACAGAATTTGAGTACTACATATTAGAATTTCTGATAAAACAACAGCAGAAAACGAAACAATACAACATTATCTTGCTATATAAAACTAGATACCTGATATCTTGAGCCTACTGCTTATTCTGAAAAACTGGACTCACCATGAGCTGTGGTCCTGAACTCACTCTGCTCCTGCCTGTTGCCGCAGGGGAAGATGATGGCTGCAGAGCCTGCTCCATTGGAAGGATCATAACGGACACAGCGTCATCTCTCTCCTTCTTCCTGTCTCTCAATCTTGCTCTCTCTCTTGCCCTAGCCGCCCGTGGCAATCCCCAACATGCACCGCAATTCCTAGAAAAAATTTAAATGACGGGAAATACTCCAGATCTGCCCCAAAATGTAGCAGGTTCTTTAAAGCCCATGTTCCATACCCTAACCAAGTTCGGTATAACTCGGTGTAGTACCTTAGTACAAAACTTGAGTGCAGGTCGCAAACATGAGTCCCCATCTCTGTCAAAATCTTAAGTAAAAATACAAAAGCACTGCCAACGAAATGTACGTTATGTTTTCCAGTGAAATGTCCAATATGACTGATATATGTGATATTAATTAGGTTGTTGATACATTAGTGTGCAGGCAGCATTATACTAGCTAGCATGCTTGTCCAGGTGAAGCTAGCATTAAGAAGCTTGTTCTGAACTTCAGGGTCAGGCCTCCTCCAAAGGGTCACAGGATGAATCTGAGGGGGTCACGATATAATACATGGGAGAGGAGAAGGGAAAAACAAAATTGTGAAACAAATATGTATTCATATTTTTACGTTTTTTGCGTTTGTTGGGAAATATGTAATCATTTGACCTTTGGGCATCAAATGGTTATTTAAAGGGATGGAGTTGTCTCTTTGGTAGAACTATTACCAAATACTAACTCACAAATCTGAAACATAACATGGATTCCTAACTACACGCTGCTCTTTTGTAATAAGTCGTAATCTAAAATGGTTGGCAAGCACTGGTTTGATCTGGAATAATGTAGTATGTAAAATCCTAATCAGACTTTGGTAGCTAACTGTCAGATAAATGTAGTGGAGTAGAAAGTACAATATTTCCCCCTGAAATGTAGTGAAGCAGAAGAATAAAGTAGCATTAAATTGAAACACTTGAATGCACTAGCATAAATAATCAGTTTAAAAGCTATTTAAACCCAGACAAACCATCATCAGACTGAAAAATTCCAGGTGAAGCTGTTGACAGGACCCTGACCAATGAGGATAGGCTATCATATTAAAAAGTGGCAAACATCAGATGATCATTTTATTGACTAATATATTCAAAATCAATTACACTTCAGATATGATCTTCTGGGCTGTGTGATCAGGATATTAAAAGAACTACCTCATCCTTTCATTAATTCTATCGATCAAGCTCACACATAAGAAAGTCTGGCATCATGACTAACACTTGAACAGGAAAACATCACTGTGAAGAAACAAGAAAATCACTGATTGCAGGAGAAAAAAAACATATGTAACAGTTGAATTTGTTCACATTTATAATTTTATATTTCACATGCTCCTAAGTTATTATCTGAATTAAATTAAGAATATATGGGCCTACCTGTGTGACATTTACACATCATTTCATCAGAAAGTGAGGCTGATGAAACGATCACACAAGGGTTGCTTACTGGGGAAGAAAGGCTTGAGGAAGTAACTAAAACGAATCCCCCAATTTGTTAGTAAAATTAAAAATTAAAAATCCAAAAATCCACCGTAAATTTGACTTTTCCTCACTCATCAATCGATACTGATTTTACCATCACACATTATTGGAATACCGCTATATGCAAATGTATGGTTTTGAGAGGATTTTCCCTTTAAATTGTATGGCTGAAAATATCATAGGGATTTTCTTGTACATAAGGTTCTATCCCTGATCTTGCTTACTGAAGATGAATATTCATCCATCTTCATCAAAATCACTAACCACTAACTTATCCCACAGACCGGATGCTTGACACATACTATTAATTCCTGCTTTTAGCAGAGACATATTGGGAAATCCCTCCAAACTGAAGAATATAAAATGACGGCCCATCGCTAAGAAAGGACAACTCCTTCTGGCCCTGACAGCCATCAGCATCAGTGGAAACTCAACAAGTGCTTCCCAGCAGCGCAACATGCCCTCTACACACAGTAAGTGATTTGCAGCCTGTGGTGCGCATGTTTCTTGAGTTTCTTCCTCTTTCTATTCATTCAGTCATTCATGCTCTTCCTCTCTGGACAGATGCCTGCTTGGTCTCAGCAGTGATGCTGGCAGCTCTGCTGCTGTGCGGTCTCGGAGCTCCAGTTGAAATTGAGCCCACCAACAGTCCAGCAGGTGAAACCTCAGGTGAGGAGGAGGGGATGCCCACTGCCCCACTGAGTGGCTCCCAGGTTTGGGACTTGATCATTAATCAACTCGAAGGCCTCATTAAGGAGGTAAGTGCTTTATCCTTCAGGAACTTATCTGGACTATGGTATTTTTGCCGTTGCTTAGATGAGTAATTATCAATTTTTACATTTATTTTCCAAAGGTAGGTGAAGAAGATGGATTCCAAGTAACAGAATCTTCTCTGGTCAAATATAAAATCTCCTCACTTCCTGCAAAGTGCCCTAGCTCAAACAAGGTAGTAGGTCTCCTCCTCTTTGCTTCAGTTATACTGATAAAACACACAGGTGATGAGGTTCATTTGAACACCGAGTGATCTTCTCTCCTCTCTTCAGGAAGTTTGTCTCCGCTGGGTGGCTGAAGGCCTTGAAACTTACATGGTTCTTTTAAAGCATGTGGAGAAGGAGTACCCCAACAGTTCAAGCCTCTCAGAAGTTGGAAACAACAGCCAGGGCCTGATCAGCCAGATCAAAGAAGAGGTGGGTCTGATGTGCTGCATGAACACACATGCAGGGGCGGGGGGGGGGGTCTGTATGTTATAGCTTTTGATTTGGCTCACTTTTTGTCATAGACAAATATACTGTACATGATACATGACAGGATACATACGACATGTTAATATCATATTGTAAAGGACTTTGTAATGTTCGCTCTTGTGTTATATCTTAGATTTATTACCATGACACAACACTGCTTACTCATATATCACCACTGCTGCTTCTGGCCCTCAGATGGGGAAACCTGGCAAGGTCAAAGTGCTGACCAGCCTCCAGGAGGAGCAGCTGCTGCAGCACATAAACAACCCTGATGTTTTCCACAGAAGGATGACCACACTCAGCATCCTGCAGCAACTCCGTCAATTCCTTTGTGATAACAGACGAAAAATTCGTCAAGTATTGATGCCTAAATATTACAAACATGGCACTACTAAAAATCAGTTGTGAAGGAATGCCTCAGATAACTAGATGGTGTTAACACTGTTACTCTTCTCAGTGAGTGCACTAACAGTAGGTATGGTGACTCTATAGCAATGTACTGTATTTAATATTGTACGCCTGACAACTTGAATCACCCACTACTGCATCTCTTATTTAACCTATTTATACTTGGTGAAAAGTTATTTATTGGTCATAGGAAAATCCATGACTGTGTGATACTTGCACTGAAAATACAATTTGTACTTGATAGAATGATTTTGATGTCGATTCATTTGTGGATTGTGACAATTGACTCTTCTGCTGTTACTTGAATTGTTTTTAATAAATAAAAAATAAATAATTTATCATCTATTATTGTAAACTTGTTTTATTTATATTACTGTTAGCTATTAATTACCATGTGTAAACTGCAAACTAAGCTGTGTTTTGAACACATGCTACCAGTGAGTGACTTAATAAATAATAATTAAAAAGATTTGCATAGAAGAGAAGCAAGTTTCTTCATTTCAACACTTTCCACATTTAAGAGGCAACACAATTTGTAACTTTTTTTTTTTTTTTTTTTACAATCAAGATAAAGAAAAGACAAGAGTGACATTTTGTCAAGGATTTATTTTCTGAAACTTTAAATTACAAATAAAAAGAGGAAAACATGGAACGAATGGTATATCCTAACATCGGTGTCATACATTCATAAACAAAATACCAACTGATAGTCAGCACAACATACTTTCAGGGACAGTCTTGATTCCATTTTGTTTATCCAAATATCTTCCATCCCTGTTGCCAACACTATCCATATGACTGTATGCCATACAGAATATCACCACAGATAACATCTATTCATTACTTCTCAGACATTGGACAGTATGATTTGTGGAGAGGAAAGTGAAAAATAATGTCCCTTTCCCAGACTTCCAACAGACAGGTGGGTCACATGGTCTTGAAGAGGAGAGGGAATTGGCTATGTGGAGATGCTCATCAGCCCCAAAGCAAACTAGAGAAAAGAATAAAATAAAAGGTTCAAGTTGACTTCCGAAGATACCCAAGACGCCCTTGAAAGTTTATCCATTTTTTTTTTTTTTTTTTTTTTTTTTAAATATTCATGAAAGATTCACCATCACGAACCGAAGAAATCCCCTTGACAACAAAATGGTACATCTCAAGGGGTTTAATGTGGTGTACATTGTATACACATGCGTTAACACAGACACACAATAAGATATTAACCATATCTTTTCCAGTTACTGCCTGCAATGTTTTGAGTACATTAACTATTTAATTCATCTTGCTCACTACAAATAGCTGGATGCTCAGGATTTACAGGTGTCAGAAGCTCAAGGTGTTAAGGAGACAAATTTGTTTTAAACTTTGTTTACTAGAGGTAAAATGTTTAATTCCTTTAATATGGATGAATATACAAAGATAAGTGTCTTGTTTTTCTGTCTTAACTAAAAGTAATAAACATTCAAAATGATGATGATAAAATGAAGACAATGCTGGCGTCATCGATACTGGATCAATTTGCATGTCTAAGGGACTGTCAAGCACAGGTTGTGTAAGTAAAGTAACTAACCACACTACAATGAACCCACACAAGGCAAACCACCACATAGCAGTCAGCTTCTTTCCCACTGTATCATACTGTATGTCACTGTCATCACTATAAAACACAAAACGTACACTACTAAACTTCCAGTCTTTGAAGATGGTGACATTAGGTAGGAAAATGGTTACAGTATGTTGTAAATATAGTTACCAGGTGGCATACAAAGGGTTAGATCTCTTTGTGAGTGAGAACTGTACTTACAAAGTCAATCACTACGCAAACTTATCTAAGGGGGGGAGAACTTTATCATAACATGCACAGCCAAAGCTGTTTCTGTATTAATGTCTTGCTATCTGACTGTCAACGTGTGTGAAGCTGGACTCCCCCCATCTTGGGGTCAGTGCCCAGGTGTGAAGCTCTCTCTTGAATATGACACACAACACAAATCAAAATACTACCACCTCATACACCTATACAATCATCTTTAGGAAGACAACACCACACCGAGGAGCTTGTTGAGCTTTTCAGGGTTAGGGTAGATTCAGGACACAGAATCCTAATGTTAACCATTATCATTATCAACTCTTAATTTCAGGGTTTCTGCTGCTTTTGTTATTTCCTAATGCATTTTTTTCCAACTCTAAGCTTTCTTCCACACTAAAGAAAGCTGAGACGTGTTCATTTTGTTCAGCTACTGTGGATTAGGATATTAAATCTTCAAGTACTGACAACTTTCTTGCAATTTCCGCACCTTTTGGGTCAGCACCCATCATACTCTGAAGACACTTGAGATGAGCACACCATTTCTTTAGTTTGAATTTTGAACTTACATCTCACAGAACTGACTATCGATTATTGTTAGTGTCTTACTTCTTCTTCTGCATCTTTGTCATGTACTTAGATTTCTCAATATTACATCTGGAGTCTTCTGGGAGATTAAGTGAAAACTGGAACGCTAAATTCTTGGCTAAGATAATTCATATGGCCATGAGGGAGAAAATGGTTGACCTTCTTGACCTGCTCTCAGCAGGTCTTCACGTTTTAAAAATTGGATGTTGATTCTTTATGTCTAGCAGTTTCTAGACTGTTATAAAGTCATAAAATAGCAACATCTTGATGAGTGCTAAATGTGCAGAAGAATTATTTTCATTCCCAAATTATTGAAAATAACGAGCGCAATTTGACTAAAATCATCCCCTCATACAAAATAATTAGGTTTTTTGTTTTGCCACTATCACCACAATATTAATACACAGGCCACAACGTGCACAACTAGGGATTTCACTTTGCTGTTAGTTATTAAAATGACTTGAAATGACAGTTAGCCCTGCCATTCCACGATTAAAGATAAACTCATTAGTGTCGCATTTCACACTATTCTGTGTGCTGCTTGTGGAATCAAATACATGATTTGACAGGAAGCACAAATCTCACAGCAATCCGTCCTTACCTTAGGACTGTGGGTTCAGGCATTCCTGGATCTGCTCCACGTTTGAAACCTGGAAATGAAAACCATGAGGAAGAATTGAAGGAATTGTTGGTTTACATTTAAGACAAGGACCCAGAAATAAAACACAGGGAAAACAGAATCTAGTCCATCCAAATTATAGTTTTCCCCGGCAAAACACCTCCTGCTGATAAAACAGCATAATTGCATCAAAGTGCTCTGACCTCTAACCTGTAGACCCAGTTTTTGGGGAGTAATAGTAAATAGGGAGTAATTATAGCTGAAATGTACTGAGCAGAGCATCTGAGTCAGAGTCTCCACCGGACACACACGCACGCAGAAAGCGTCATTCATAGGTCACAAATGCGGTCAAGCATGCTGCAACAGATTCTTAAGAAAAAGACATCAGGGAAACACACGGAAATAAGGGCAAATGCCAATCGCCTATCTTTTCAGAGCCTGTGGCATCAGGCAGACAATTAAAAGACCCAACGGCGTTCCCTTTAATGCTAGTAATAGTAAAAATTTTCAAATCCATACATTAGAAAAGCTGAAACCTACAAAATTGTGGCATTTTATGATAAATGATGATAATGTTTTTAAAGTGGATAAATACTTATTTAACTGGCAAGTTGTTGCGACGTCATTTCAATCATACTCTGCATGAAGTACTGTATAATTGACTTTTATATTATGACTGCCTTAAACATGCAGCATTATTCGATGGTGTTAACACAAGAGCAACACATGCTCAATACAAGAAAAAATTACCTTAAAGGTAAATGAGCAAGAGAGAAATGTGTAAAAAAAAAAAAAAGGCAAAGGAAAGTTAAATGGGAAGGGTGAAAGTATGACATCACTGATGGTCTTTCCAATATGCTGAAGTCAGACAAGTTTCACTTACAATCGGCAACTCCACAGTTTCAACTTCCCCATCTTTACTCCAAACCACAACCTGCATTTTTAGTACCCAATACATGCTGCTGTGAAATACATGTGCACAGGCTTGTCTTAGACTTTCAAGAGGACCACTTTGAGATCAGCTATCCAGGACTTATTGCTTTAGTACTTCAAGGTCAACAGCTTTCTACATATTTTTGTTCAAAGGCGATGGAAAGTTACACAGTCCTCATTCCGACATAGAAGAGATCATTCAAAAAAGATTACACCTACTCACCATCATCATGCACTACATTACTTCTACAGGATTTAGGGTGGAGGTAGTTAACAGTCTACTACCACTTGGGAGCCATAAACGTTACACCTAAATGCTGTAGAACCAATTCAAGTAAACCCAATAAAGCAAAATTGGTACTAGAAACCTTCTTTTTTTCATATAAAAGCCGGGTATAGAAGCAGAATGGTAATAAGCTAAGCTAACTGGCTAACGTTAGCGAGGCAAGTCTTCTCGCAGTATCCCCCACCCACCCTGCTTATGTTCGGATACTGACCGAGATACAGCACGGTTGGGATAAACCCCCATCGGATGACAAACTGGCCGCACTGGAAAAGCTGCTGCAGCCGCTGTTTGGTCTCTTTGCTCATTTTAGCCATGTGTTTATCCTGACCACCGAGGATGCCAAGGACGAGGAGAAGGAGGAAGTGACGTAGAAGAAACCGGTAACCTAGCTGCTAGCTGTTCTGTCATAGGTCGCCATCTTGTGGAAAGACGCGTAGCTGCAAGGGAGAACTTATAATAAACTAAAGTAAGAGAACTATAAAGGTAGGCACAAAAGGGAGGAAATCATTATGACAAGACTCAGATTGGATCACATTGGATTAACTAGTACAGTGTTTGTACAAGGGAAAAGAAACAGTGACGTTTGGGATTTGAAAACTTCGTACTGGAATACTTGCTTTTAAAAATACATGAATATTTTTACATTCATGTAGATCCACTCCTAAAATATGACTATAAATGATGATAAACTATATATTTTTATAGAAGAGTATGTATATGAATGTATATGAAATAGTTCAAATGAGCTCCACCTGGACCAGCTATAACATTAACATGATGTTAACAAAGAGATAATAATACAAGATACTACTGTATATACCGTACACTCTGAAAGGAGACAATCTGTGTAATGTGGAGTTTAATTTTTGACACACAATTTTGGTGCCAAAACATCTGTACTTTTTCTCCAGTAAATTTTTGAATGAAGTCATTTTACTTGTAGTTGAATATATTTACATTGCAGTGTTGCTCTTTTTACTTTAGTATAGGATCTGAATATTTCCTCAACCCCTGAAAATGTGTCAATAATGTTGCAAAATTTGAACCATTGACATTCAATAATAACTAAAGTGTGTTCTGCATTGTTTCCTGACCTGAGTGTCAAAATGTAGGCATGTAGTTACCTGTTTTAGTGCAGTTATATTATGCTCGCATGGGCCATATTCCTAAATGAAATGTGTTTAATAAAATTACCACAAAGTTATTTACATGTCATCTCTCATATAATAGGGCTTTCAGCTGTAGTAGTTAGACAAGCCTACATTTTACAGATAGCATATAGCATGTGTCAGGGTAAAAATGAATATGCTTACAAGGTCTACATATGTAAAAATCTTATAAATATCTTACATAAGTGCCTGAAATTCATGTTTTGAGGTGTTTGGTGATGCTCCCTGGCAGACACAGGAAAATATAACCGAGCACACAAGTGAAATATAGAAACACTTTATTCCCAGAAGTTGTAGCAGTTGAGTTATCTTCAGACAAATAAAAGGCCAATATAAATCAACTTTAGTACAACAGTATGATGTACAACAAGAGCTTACCCATTCACATTCTGTAAACCCACATACAGAAACACGATGATTGTTATTGTCCCATCAAGCCATGGACACTCGACAGCTCTAGTACACGGACAACAGAATACACTTTTGCTTGAGGGTGGGGCAGCATGAACACTTGATTTAGGACACCGAATGTAGCAGATGGGTGGAGATTTATTTATTCTAAACTTTATTTTTTTGGTACAAGAATATCAGCATGTCTTGTGACATGATGATGTTGTGAACAACAAGGAGGGGCACAGGAAACACATCACCAAAGTACTACAAACAGCTGGAATGGTGGGTTGATCTGAGGGGGGGCGAGGGGGTGCCTTGTTGCCCCAAATGCTGTCCCACTGCAGAAAGCACAGGAATTAATTTACACTTTCATTCGAGTTAACAAAACTTTACTCAGAGGTATTGTACTATTTTATATTCCTGCATGTAGGTTGACAGCAAGTCCAGGTGTTTTTTTTTTAAATTTTTGGATCATGGCTAGGTGCAAGAGACGTGGAAATCTGTACAGAGCAACAAAGCATCTATCTCTCCCCCTCTCTCACAGGAAAACACCACAGTTGAGAGTCAAATCTCTCTTGTTCATCATAAGAAAATACCAAAGTTGAAAACACAGCTCACTTGTCCTTCAAGTGCAAAATTCAATACTTAAATCACACACACCCATCGTCCCCAAAATCAAAATCATCCTTGTCATTTGTGAGAAGTTGGATTTTTATTTTTGCCATCAAATACACAGCAATTCAGGAAGGTGCTAGAGGAGCGAGAGGGAAGGACACAAATATTGCTTCTCCATCATGATTACAATACTGTGCAAATGTAAACATAAAGAACTGATTCTTATCACACTGGCTTGATTATTTTGTGGTCGTTTTTCCTGATGTTTTATGGGAAGAATGTGGACTTTCTTTTAAGAAGCATAGCTGTAACTGATGACAAAAAAAGAAGTGTGAACAGAGGGAGTTTAGGTGATCTTCCCAAAAGATGGAAAACACTGAATAGGAGAAATTTGTATTGCTATGGGAAGGGATGTATTCTTTTTTTTTAAAAAGTAGTAGAAACACTTGTTTCAGCTAGGAGAATCATACCTTGTTCATTGTATCAATCAGCAGCCTTTATTCTAAAAACAATTGTACATACACATATACAGTACACACACTCAAGCATGCTCACACATACTCAACATCTGCCCTCTGACAAACCTGGGCAAGGTCAGGATGGATGTATGGGCAAGCCATGCAGGGCAACAAATGCCAATGAAAATACTTTCCAAATACTTTTCCACACAGTTTTTAGTAATGAGAGTTTTAAGTGCACCCATTTTACAACAGGCTGCTCTGCAAGGGAGTGCAGTTCTGTCCTGGCACGACTTCACGGCAACAGTGCACGACTAAAAATCAGTGAAGCTGGAAGTGGTATTCCTGACATCCTGCCTCCATCAGGCCCAGAGGAGTCGACTCTTCTGGAGGAGAGGAGCTGATGGTGCTCTGGATATCTGAATGGAGCAGGACCGCAGGCTGGTTTACACCACACAGAATCAAAGACGTTAAAATGGAGTTACAGAGGAAACAGTGGGAGTGTTTGTTCATGTCTTTGTGGTTCTTTTGCAGTTGGCATGGCTTGGAGTTCCAGGTCACAGGTACAGGGTCCGAGGCGAGGGTTCAGGTAGTCAGGAGTCACAGAGGGTTCAAAGGTCAGAGCCAAGGTGCACGCTGATGCTGGGAGACCGCTGCGTGTGGTTTGGCGTGGGACTCAAGTACCCCAGCCCTTCCTCCTGCAGGCTGCATGAGTAGCGACCAGCCTCGGAGGCATTGTGGTTGCTGGAGGGAGGGGCGTTGCCGCTGGCCACCTGCTCGAAGGAGCGGGAGAAGACAGCGCTGGCGGTGCGCGTCAGGCTGGTGAGAGCTCCTGCCTTGGGCACTGATTGGCTGGAGGTGAGCGTCAGTCGCTTGACAGACAGCTCTGTGTTTTCACTGGCAGCCCGGCCTGTTGTTAGCGGGCCCGCCTCCTTGTCCTTGCTGGTGCGCCCGCCGAGCCGACACTTCTTCATGGCCTTGGCCCCCAGGTTCAACGTGGTGACGCTGTTGCTGATAGTGATGGTGGGTGGGGTCATGTCAGGCCCCACCCCGCCTGGCCACACCCCTTCATCCACCTCCGAAATATCCATCAGCTCATCCGGGGAACCCAGATCCACTGCGTCTGTGAGACAGACAGACGGACGGATGGAGACAAGAACAAGCAATGAAATGAAAAACAGGAGTTAGTAAAAATACAACCATCTCATCTGTCATCCAGCCCACCTGATCCATTCAAATTATTATTATTTATTTATTTATTTTAATTATTAAGAATACATGGTTTAAAAAGAATATATTCTGTATTCTTTGCATGAAAGTTTGGCTGGATGACAGAGGAGCTCTGTCACTGTCCAGCAGGTGGCGCCTTAACACTTTAACCTCAGCAAGATCTTGCCACTGTAACTTCCAGTACAGCACACATGTTAGGATAACCAGCAGCACCTGCGAGACAATAATCAGTGGCAGAGGAATGCATGTTTTGTCCCAAAGGCAGGAGTGGACAGTGTCTAAGAGCATAAGCCTAGGAAAGATCACAAAGGGAAGGTAAAGGAAGGCAAACAAAGGCACAGATAAGTACACCTTAAATGCATTTCTCTTTACTAACTCTAAAGACACACACACGCATTAACAGCTTTTCTGCTATCTTCAAGGCATGTATCCACACCCATCCAAGTAGCCAACCACACACAAATGCACACTTCTGATTTGATCTATCACTGTAACAGAACACCAGTAAACAGCTGGTAAACAGACTGATATGCAGGTTCTTTTATCATCATCATTTTTATGGTCAGATTCAGCCTGTTCAGAACAACATCAGGAGATGCCCGATTCAAGTCCATATGTAACATTGTGACAAGCTTCTGCTTCAGATAATTCAAAGACCTGCATATCTTTCCTCAGCTCCTAGCTACTGGTCAGAAGGAAGTAATCTGTCTCCAGGTGCAACCCAGGAGTAACGTGTCGAGGCGTACCGAGGTGTGTTGTAAGAGACACAAAGCTTACTGATCCCTCCAGTAAAAACCCAGGAGTTAGATCTCCAAACAACATTGGAAGAGTGAAGTCTTCTGCTACTGCTAATAGAGATATCTGGGCTTTCTGATTCAAGGTCATTAGGCCTTTCTGTTACCAGTGCTGTCATAAACCTATTTTTATACCTATACCTGTTGTTTATGGTCTTTGTTTAACTGATGTTCTGCTTTAAATAGGAACCACTTAATTTTGCTCAACATAAACACATCACATCATTTTTTATTATGTGATTAAGCCAAGCACATTTCATTATTATGCATTTTTATTAGGATATTGATCTGCTATCCAGTTAGATCGTAAAAAATGAATTTGATTTTAAGGAATCTCAGCAGGAGGTCTTCATGAGGAAGCTTTAGCCACAAAGGAGAGAGTAAATGAATGAATGACATCAGGATAGACAGATGAGAGGAATAGTGCAATTAGGCGAAGAGGGTGGTGGAGCCCAGTGAAAAAGGTAAAAGGGGAAGTCATCATGCAGCTTTTCAGACCACGCCCCCCACAAACGGTTACCTAGGTTACCCCGGGAGAGGGGCAGGGGGAAGGAGGGGCAGGACCTTAGTACTGGCTCCTCCCTGTGGAGGCCGACCCAGAACCCTCATTCTCCACCATTCGCCTCACAGACTTCTGCCTCCTGACCTCCTGACCCCGCGTGCCGGAGTCATGACCTCGGGGGTCCAGGCTGACCTCAGAGGTGGTGCCCAACATGTCGCCATCGGGCTGGGTGCGACCGTCAGAGCGTGGCCTTAGGGAGTCTCCGTTGGGCATTCGCTCGCCGCTCACGCCTGTCACACTGATCTCGGGGATAGCCACGCCCCCCAGCGCAGCCTCACTGTCTACACTCACCTCCTGGGACTCTGGTGGTGTGGGAGCATGTCGGGGGTAATGGGACAATACACAGACATATATATATGTACACACACACACACACACACAAACACACACGGACAAGACAAACACACATCATGCACACGTACGTGACAAACAAAAAGACGGCCATGTGCACAGGCACACATGACCACAGTAACACAAGACACACAGAGGTAATCAATGTAATGGCAGAAAAATAAAAAGACAAAAATCATATTGATCAGAACATAACACATGGTCAAAATACATGCTATATGGAGATGAATATGACCACAGTATTTGAATGGAATCACATTTCATACAGGTCACCGCTGACGGTGACACGTGAATTAATATTTAATAGTGTTTTCCTACATCATCTGCTCATAACAAAAGCTCTATGCATAAACAAGCAGCTCTGATAAGAGCATCAATGAGCAGGATCCATGAGATGAAAAAGGGTAATTAGGCTCGAGATGGAACCCACTCATTAAACTAGCTGAAGGCTGTAATTTACCTGCCTCATCTGTACTCTAGGAAAAGAGAGCGGCTCTCTTAATCCTAAACCACAGACTGTCTTTTATTGTGTGCTTCTGAAGAGTCAGTGATGGCGAAATTTCCTTTGTTCTATGGTTATCTAAATATTATATATTTTCTTTGGCACAGATAAGAAACTACATAAAACATGACATATTAAAAGTGTATACTGCACACTGCAACTCATCGATATAATACTATGAATACCCTACCTGCTCTCTGGTTTCCTGTCTTCTCCTATCTGTCAAATTAGGCTCATGTGCTGCGCTGTCTCTCTCTTTGTCTGGCTGCATCTCTCTGCATCTCTCTGACCACCCTCAAACTGTGAATGCTCACCTGACTCTGTATTGCCATCAAGTTGGATAAATCCTAACAGATCAGAAAGGAAATCATGGTTTTGAATGAAGAGATTCTAAGAAGATGGACAGCACTGGCTAGCAAGCTGAGGAAATGCGATCTATGGGCTTGGGAGCTGAAAGATGACAACACTTGTACACAGTGACTGTAGGACAGTGAAATGATATGGTGAAATGAGTTGATCTAAACCTCATGCTCTCTCCTTTGGCATGGATTTGTTCTTCAAACAAACTTCTAATTTTTTTTTATTACCCCACAAAAATGTGATTGCAAAATGATTACAGAAACATGTGAAACGTGTGTGTGAGAGCTCATATGTTCCAGTGACTTGACGTCCGATAGATATGTCCCTACATCTCGCTTTTTTTCCCTGCCTATGCGTCTCACCGTGTCTCTTCCAGCGGTGTCCCCTGATAGAGAGGGAGGTGACAGCATTTCGGGAGATCCTGGAGGAGGTGGGTGTGATCTCCACCTGGATACTTCGTGCACCCTCCTTGTTGTTACTCTTCAGTGCTGCGCCGTGCAGTGACGACTTGATGGCATTACCCACCTGAGGGCGATGGGAAGCAGAAAAAAATTGTTAATTACAACGTTTTGGAAGACAACAGCCCTCCACCAGTGAGAAGCTGAACTAGCCCACTCAAAGGTTAGCAACCAGCCCAAATTATTTCATTCTTTGTTGCTTGCAAACACAAACTCAAATGAAATTACTATGTATTTTTATTAGGTTCACACCGAGACACTGTCACAATTTCAACACACTCATCTGTATCGATTCAGGTCATTCGAAGAATGGTAGCCACTCTACAAGTTGTGACATTATATTTACATTTTTTTATTTTTCAAAACTGACAAAAAAGAATAAGGAAGAATCAGTTTTAGATAGGGTTGAACGATATGCAAAAAATATTTTGGAAGAGATTGCGATCATGATAGGAGTCACGATTTCAGTTGGAATGGTAATTTTTACATTTCATTTTCACTGTCAGGAGTATAAAAATGATGATGATGTGATTTTTGTTGGGGCTTATACCAAAGAAGCATGTTCCCTTACATCTGGAGAATATGATTTGCAGTCCGGGGCATCTCTGTTGCGCCACAATGCTTATTTTTGGTGTGTTGTGACACATTTTATCTTTATCAAATAAAAAAAATAAAAAATGCATCTCCTGCAATTTGCCATATTGCAATTTTGATTTTCGATTAATTGTGGAGCTCTAGTTTTAGATATATGACATAACCTTAGACAAACACAGAAGAGAAGCCTTTTTTATGCAGTTGACTGCTCATTACCAAAACTCTTGCTTACAAAAAGTGTCTTTTTATAGTTTTGCCTGCTGGGCATTTGCATCAGTGAAAACATAGTAGTACTGTGTAGCAAGTAAAACTACAGAAAAATAGCTGTCTGTCGCAAAAAATCACAAAAAAAGATCCAAGTGTAAAAGTACTGGCGCAGTTCACAGTGTCTGTAAAAGCAGCATTACTGATACCACTAAGTCAGAATGAAGTTCAGATCATGTGACTGAACCAATGACACCTGATCAATAATCCCATTTCTACCAGATTTATGCCGAGGGATCAAACTAAAAGCTTAGCACAAACTGACTGAGTTACACAGACTAGTGAAATAAGATCAAACAAACGAGGCTTTGTACTTAACTCTATATAACACTATTTCACAAGTCCTGATATAATAACCTCTGCTCTCACTGGAAATTCTCAAGCAGCACTTGCGCTAATGATCATGTAACAGCTGAGTAGGTAACATGAGGTAGACAGCATCATAATCACCACACAACATGTCTTTTGTCTGTGTGGCTGCAACACATTGGTCTCATGAGGGAGACGTCACCAAGTTATGCTAAGCTAGCAGCCACCTGGTGCATTCCACTGCAGCAAGCAAACACGCAAACACGCACTGGACGTATTTGATATGTGAACCCTTCCACAGTCGACTGTGTGTGTTCATGGCATTTATCCACAAAGCTGTTTCTTTATTTTAAAAACATTTTTTAAACTCCAACACCATTCTTAATATTGTGTGTTTTGATTGTTGTAGAAGAGTACACCTTGACTTGTGTAGTAATACTGTGACCTCAGGTTCAATCCCCTACTCCCTGGACCTCAAGGATTACAGCTTAACGGAGCAGAGAGGAAAGCATGTAAATAATCTAGTGGGATTACACTCTGCTTGCAGTCTCTGACACACACACACACACACAGACCAACACAATACAGCATAGTGTGCCGTGTATGAATCAAAACCACAAGCCAGCATGTGCGTCTAAATCACATGCTCTCTCAGACACTCAGAGAGACAGACAGACAGACACACACACACACACACACACACACACACACACACACACACACAGAGTAGAGGGAGATGTGATAGTAGCAGAAAAATATCATTGTACCCACCAGTAGAGCCTCAGGGAACAGCTCTAGCTGGGCTCGATACAGAACGTCATCCAGTGCTTTCGATCCCAGTTCAACTTCCCCATTACACCTTCACACGGGCACATACACAATGGTAGATATTGGTTGAGACAGCAGATTAATCCTTTTTGAGACTCAAAATGAAGAGTGTGTAAGAAAAGTTGTGGCATTACAGAGACTTGAAATGTAAGACATGACAAATGAAAAGTTGAAACAGTGAGGCTGTGCTGCGTTGGTCTGGCTGTGTGTGCAGCCATGTGTGAACACTCACAAGGCGTAGTGTATGCCCGTGATGAGCTGAACCAGGAACTCTGACGTGACTGTCAGCCGCGTGCTAATGCCTTTGTAGCGTCGTATCTGTTGCCGTGGGTAACCGCATATGCACACCCTGGAGGACAACAAATAAAAACCCAATAGGGAAGTTTGTATCAGTGAAGTAGGGAAACTTCAAGCTGGGAAACGACTCAACTGAGCAGCTTGGCGGCACTTCCATTAAGGCAATTTACTTCTCTGTGACAAGCAGATATAAAACTCAACAATGAACAATTAATGGCTGATTATAAACATGCACGCACGCACATACTGCATACAATGAATTCTATATATTATTTATTCATGATTTACAACCCATAACACTTGAAAGTATTGAATAACATCGGAGCATAAACAGTAGATGGTTAATTATTTTCAAATGGTCTCATACAACTTGCAACAAAGAGGAAACAACTTAAACTGAGGTGGCACCTGTTGAAGCTGCAGGAGTTGCTATATACACTGTACACAGCAGATACACAGCAAACTGTCGAGGGGAAATCAAAACTGATGACTTCTCTTTCGCTCTGTGCTTATCAGCCCAATGCTCAGCTGCAGTTGGCAGATTACCAAAATCACTGGGTTGAGCTTGGATGTGTGTACATCACAGCTCTTTGCCAAATAGCGGTATCTTGGCTCTCGCTGGCAGCAAAGTCTATAAGAGGATCAGATAAGCAAGAGCTTGCAAAACTCTGTGTGTGTGTGGGTGTGTGTGTGTGTGTGTGTTTGCAAGAAGTGTACTTAAAAATATCAGCAATGAAGAAAGTGACAAAAAGGTCACAAAGTATGATATGTGTGTGTGTGTGTGTGTGTGTGTGTGTGTATTAATTCCTCAAGGCCTCATAACAAGGTGACCCATGGGTTGCTACTGTAGGTTGAGATATGGTGAGATGTCTGTGCATTTGTGTTTGTGCTTTACCTGGAGCTGAGTTGGCAGAGGGACTGGAGGGAGGTGGAGGTCATGTAGCTGAGAGCAGCATTGTAGCACAGCAGCAGGAAGGTCAGCACCTCAAATCTCAACAACATAAACACACACTTAAAATAGCATGTCTCTCTTCCAACCACATCACAACATGACAAACCAAAGCGTATAACATTATACAGCGGACATTTATAGAGGCAATTATGCTTCCATCCACACTGTCGATACAAACAGTCCAAAAAAGGAGACTGAGATATTATCTCTGCATGATCTTAAAAAAGCAGCCAGACTTGTTTTGTCACATAAAAATTCTTCAAGCTAAAAATAAAACATTCGTCACCTATTTTTAATTATCTAGCCAGTCAGTCTGAAATGGTGTAAGAAAATAGGACTGAAAAAAAGTTGAGGATGTTCAACCTTCGACCTTCAGAGTCTGGCTGCAGTACAGCCTCATTACAGTAATTTAAGAAACCCTAACAGCCATCTAAAAACTTCAAATGCAACAATACAAAGACAGCTGCCACAGGCCACCACTGAAGCAAACACACCATGCATAAAATAATTGGCAGCAGCTAAACTCACCATCACCACAGTCTGAGGATAAGACGTTCAAAAGCTCATAAATACGTCAATAGTCAATAACCTTTTTCTTTTAACACATCATCACAACTTGTCAGTGCTTCTTTGTCAGATTGCACATCCTCTTTCGTGTGTGTTTCTATTTTGGTGGCTGGCTGGCATTTGCTGCCAATTCTAAGCAGGCAGACTGACAGCCTGCCCATTTTAAAACGAGCACAATCTCCTCCCTGCTGACAAATCCCCGCCCGGCCTGGAGACTTTAAACAAGTGCGCCCATCGAGCCTTTTTACCTGTTCTGTGCTGTGAAGGTCTCTCTCTGCAGGTGTGGCCCGCTGTACACCACCCTGCTCAGCCCGTGATTGGCTAGAGCCCCTTCTGTGAGGGCCAGGGAGCCGATGGTTGAAGGCTGGAGGTGAGAGGATGACATTTTTACATTGAACATTTCTACAAAAGCAAATTAAAAGATCTGTGTGCACTTGTGTGTGTTTCTCACCTCATGGTACACTGATGGTTTGGAGAGGGAAGGGACGGTAAAAGATAACACTTTACTTTGTCCATCTTTATCAACTATTTCCTGTGAAAGAAAGAGACAGGAAGACAAAGAAAAAATGTTTCTGTAGGCGAGAAAAACAGAAGCTTTTTTTTCCTGTGTGTGCCATAAACCTCTGAAGAGTGTGTGCTTATCTCTTCAAGCACACTCATCTGTTATGCGTGGGCATCTGTGTGTGGACCTCAGGGTCTGCGTTTCCCCACTCATTCTGCTGGTGTGTGTGTGTGTGTGTGTGTGTGTTTGTGCATACATTGTGTGAAAATGCACGCACAATCTCCAGGGTTTTGGTGTCCCCTGTGGACATGTTAATGTCAAAAAGATTAATGGGAGGCAGCAGTGTGTTGAGTGACAGCTGACCTATTCTGCTATTCAGAGAGGAAGATAGGGGACACTGCACTTTGCTGATAAATAGATCATCCACAGCGAGAATGGATGAAAACAGAACTCAACACACTTTAATAATTACTAGCGCTGGCAACTCTCTGTGGGAAGTTTAATGGCATTTGCAAGAAGCAACCCATCCATATTGTATATGTGCATTGAAATTCTGTCCCTCCCCATGCATAGCTATCTAGCAAGGCAGAGAGGGCATCAAGATATCGTTTAAAACAAATAACACAGATCCCAGTTAAGTTGGGTTAAGTCCCCAGTCTCTGAAACTGCATGATTACACCCACTTGAATCAAGGACTTTTTTCTTTGTGTTTTCCTTATTTTGCACTCATCACACTGGAAAGGTTTTATTGTTATTAACAGCAGCTCTCTTTTACTGATAATAAATAAAAAAGGATCAGCTGTTACATAAGAATGTGGTATTGAAAATTTAATGCACACGCATGCAGGCACATACACACACAATCACCTTCATCCTCCCACCTACCAGGTTGTAAATGCCCAGCAGCAGGGCCTCGATGCAGCCGGAGGTGTGGGGGTCTCTGGCTGCGCTGACAGACAGGAGGCTCCACAGGAGCTCTGGCAGGAACTGTAGCGTGAAACGCTGCAGCTGCGGCTCACCGCTCCGGTAAAATTCAAACAACTGGTGACACACTGGCTCCAGCAACTGGGGAGAACAGATAACCCAAAAATCATGCACACACAGGCAACAACTGCAACTGTATCAAATTTTGTATTTGGCAATTATGGTTCCTCAATAATGTAAGGATGGGATTCACAATGCGTGTGACAGTCAGACAGATCAATAAACCAAAAGGACAGTAAGACAAAAACAACATAAGATAATCAGGAGTCTGTAAAATGATGTGTATAAAACAGTCATGGGCCTGGAAACATGACAAAATACTAAAAGTGTTGTTCAAAAGTGTTGTGTGGTCTGCTTACATGAACAAATGTATTACAGTGTGTGTACATACGTCGCTGTAGTTCTCTCGGATGACCTTGTAGAGCGCGGGGACCAGAGCACCTTTGTCTTTCAGTGAGGCGGCATAGTTGGATACAGCACTGTCAGGGAGGGTCTGAAAAACACACAAACAGTTGAAGTTTGATACAGTACTGACCTAAGGCCAACCAGTACTCTAAGAATAACACAGCATGGTCATTTGAGAGGGGACTATGGAATAGCCAAACATTTGCCTAAATGTGATCTGTTCAAGCTTGGCACCTATGAAGTCCAGGATACACAGATATCATTTTAAGGCAATAAATCTGCCTAATATTATGACCGATGCTGAATGAAAAAAACAAGCATCAACGAGAGTAAGCAATGTAACAATACATCAAATATGTTGTAACTGCAGCCAATGACAGCATGTAAGGCTTGCAGAGACAGAATGATAATGTCTAAAGTAAAGATGTTCCGATCTCATTTTTTCATTACAGAATACCAATCCAATACCAATGAGAAAAAAAACTTAACAGCATACTACTAAACCTGTATGAATGTGATATGATTGATGTCATTGTTGTAAGGCATGGCTCAGCTTAAACCCTTTGTAAAACATACTGAGCAAATACATGAATGCCATAAAATCTCTTTTTACAGTGGAAACCGCTTATGGTGATCACAGTTACAGTGATCAAACGTTTATATGGATCAAAAGCTTGGGACAGAATCATTCTTATACAAATGCTGTTTTAAACATTTGCTTATAGAATCAAGTAATCTGCTTACAGTGTTGATTTTGCGTCTTTTCATACTTGACAACATATGTAAAAAGAATTTAAACTGTTGTAGCCTACTACTGCAAACTGTCATATGCTGAGGTTCTCCGACTTATTTCTCCAGCTGTCTCGCATCTCATCTCGCTGTGTGTGTGTGTGTGTTTGTGTGTGGCACTCACTGACGAGTTGCAATGATTGGCTAAGTAGCATCACGTGACCACTGCCTTAAAGGCTAGAAAAGCTGCACCAGTTAAAACAGAAACTTTAATAAATTTAATAATTTTCAATCATTTATAGGTGTTAGGTCCGGATAGGACAGCAACTGGGTCTGGACCCAGACTTCGGTCCGCATATTAATGACCTCAGCCAACGTTCAGCCATTTACCAGAAATCAATTCTTCTTCACTGCTCTCCAACAGTAGCTGCGAGTGGCTGCACAGCACAACTTCCTGTGTAGGCTACTGTTTTGGAGCGGCGAAGAACTGATTTCTGGGAAAACTGCTGTTTTATTTGGGTGTGAAACTATAAAGTTTATCAATACATTACGTGGTATTGGGTCGGTGCATAGACTTGCATACTCGCCCATTCAATCCAGTATTTTAGGCAGCATCGAAGGCATTTCCGATACTGGTATCAATATTGGAACAACTCTAGTCTAAAGAAGCCGCTAGTCACATTGATCTGGTTGCATTTAGAGGTCAACTTCACTGAGAGTGGATGACAGATGGGTCATCATATGTTCACACAGGAAAATCTCATCTGCTCTTTCATTACACCTCACCAAGCCCGGGCTTTGGTAGCAGTCAAGTATCATTGAGTGCTCATGTTTGAGTAGGAGCGTGCGATTTTCTGGGAATAAAGCACTTCAGAGACTGTTTGTTTACATGTGTGGAGGACATTCTGCCAAAATGCAGCAGCAGAGATTGTACTGCACACTGATCGTGGGTGCGTGCTTTTTAACAATGTTTTTTTGCACCCATGCACATAAACACATACACACAAACAGTAAAGCGGTACCTTAAATTCTGACAGCCATTCCTCCACCACTCCTTGGTCCATAGCCAACATGTTCCCTCATCTGCAGTGGAGTCACCTCTACCTAAGAGAGAAAAACATACTGTATAAACACACAGTTGTCATAATTATTGACACATAACAAATATATAGAGCAATTTCTCTCTCTGTCTCACACACACACACACACACACACACACACACACACACACACACACACACACACACACACACACACACACACACACACACACACACACACGAAAAAGCAATTACAGCTTGAACAAGGCTCTTTTCATGTTTGCTAGCCTTCTATTGTTTTGTATCCTGATAAAAATCTTCTATTAGAAGTGGCAAACAATGCCATGGCAGTGGTGCACAGTGAATGTACACGCTCCAGGCGTCAATACTCCACAAAGAAGCACAAGTCTCTCCTTCCCCCTTCTCTCCTCCCGTTTCCCTCTCATTCCTCTCTAGACACACACCTCTGCAGCAAGTACCTAACCTATTCTCAACTCAGGCTGGCATATCGAAAATCACCCACACAGAGAATCCTGGCTGGCTTCACTGTCGAAGCACTGATGAGGAAAAAAAAAAAACTGTGGCACAGCAAGATTTAGATGCTTGTTGAACAGGCTGTACAGTTCAGACGTCTTTAAATGGAGACAGACAGAAAAAGAGGCTCTTAACTGCTTTAGCTTACATTTACTCATGGTGAAATGACTTCTCTGCTTCCTCCATCCCTGCTTGTTATTTTGGTTGTCCCATCCCATCATCCCAGCACTTATATTGTCTGCATCCTGGCTCCTGTCTTTCCCTTATCTAGACACTCCACTTGTATGCATGTAGCCTCTTTTCCAGTGAACCTCCAATGTTACCCTATCTTCTTGTCTCTTATGAATAATCAATCATGTAACCAAGAAACAATGCACATCCCCAATCAATTAATCATCCCTTGTGATGAAATGAACAACTAATAGATTTAGTTGTTTATGAAGCAGCAAGACTTAGTCTACAGCCCCACTAGCTGCTCTGAGAGGTTGTAAAATGCTCATTGTGAAGAAAACCACACTGTCCTCACCAATAACTGCTGGTGGCGCTCGATGGAAAGTCAGGGGATCACCAGTCATTACGATTTATCCTCAGGGGACTATAAATATCTCCACAAATCTTCATAGCTATCCAAACAATAGTTGTATTATTTTTAGTTGTTGTTATTTCAGTTTGGTCCAAAGTGGTCAACTGCCCGTTCATCGGACAGAACATTGCCATTCTTAGCCTGACTGGAGTCGCTAAAAATATTCTCTGGTTCCAGCTTCTCAAATGTAACAATTTTAAGGTTTTTTTTATCTTGTTTCATGTCATTTTACACCTTATGTTTGGACATTAAGACATTACAAGCAAATTGTAGATGTCACCTTGGGCTCTGGGAAATTGTTAAGGCCTTCTTTCACTTTGGTATTCTATAGAATAAACATATAATAAATTAATAAACAATCTACAGATTGACTGATAATTAAAATAACCTGTAGTTTCAGTCTAAGTCTTCCCACGTACTGACATCACCTAAACCAACTATGCATTGAGACTGACACCATGAATGGCTAAGACAATGCAGCCGACTGACCAGAGACCTATAGTATGCTTTCTGAGGAGGAGGAGGACGACACCGTCTCTTTGCATGTCTGATTAATTATCAACTAGTATTCTGTTTTCACTGCGGAGTATGCCATGTCTGTGCTCTGTGCTCTGTCGTGTCTGCATTCTGAAACTGCAAGTACTAGGCTGAATTGGCAGTTGAATGCAGAAAAAGAGTCCATGTTTGGTATGTCTGGTAAAAGAAGTTGAGAAATAAAATAAAAAAAGAGAAAGAGGAAGAAGTCCTTCTATGTACACACAACATGCGCTTAGATTTCAGCTGAAGATAGCTTAATTTCACCTTTCAAAACTCTTCCACTTCCAACATGTCACTTGGTGGAACACGTGTACGTACGTACACACACACACACACATACACTCTCACACACACACACGCACACACACACACAAAGAAGTATTAGATTTTCAGCTGATGAACAGGCTGCCTGTGAAAGAAAATATTTCAAACATGTTCTGGAAGTGAACTCAAACAAATACCCTCTAACCCAATGGCATGCAAACTGTATATACTCAAAATTTACTCTATTTATGTATGCATAATGCATGTGCATGTTTCTGATTGTTTTTCGTCTTCCCTGTCCCTGCTTAGCCTCTTCTGTCCCTCTGCTCATCCTCCCACACAACATCATTTTTCTCTCCCCATCTTCCCTGCCTCCTAATCTGTCTTTTCACACATCCAAATGCTTTTATTATATTTTGTATGATACTGGTGCTTGGTCTCTCCATGGTAGCCAGGTGTCTATTTATGGACTGTACCAATGACAGAAATGACACGGGGGGGAGGGGAGCCAGTGACTCATGAAATGGGGAAGGATTATAAAGCAGAATAGCTTCCATTTAGAGAAATTAGTCCTTTGTGGAGGCCATGCTGGTGAAGACAACAAGGAGGACAGCATTGTCTAAAGCCAGCATGTGCGTTTTAATGGCATGCTCACTGAATACATGAAAATAAAATAAAGGCTGTGATTAGAATGTGGATGAGTCAGTCTTGTGAGAGGATGGGTTCTCCTCCTACAGAGTCCCTTTCAACCCATCCACTCTGTCCACACTGGCATCTGGGGTAAGACATCTGTATCATCTGCATCATCTGTATCCAGAAAAAGATACCTGAAGACCAAAATCAGCAGCCGCCTGCCACGCCACCTACTCATTTGATATATTTGCCTTCTACCTCAGCAGCAAGCAAGAAAGAAATTGCAGCGACACAAAAGCAGCAGAAGCGGTTGGACACTTGGGTACAAAGTTAGTGTAAATTATTTGTATTATTAAAATCATTTTGGTAGATACACGTAGAGGGTGCAAAAAATATTAAGATTCAAAAGTCAGCATTTAAGATTTTTACACAATAAAAAAAGGTAAATAAGTCAACATTTCATGCTGTCATTGACTGGACAGGAGCGACAGTCATGGTGGTTACAGAGTTAAAAAAAAACCAAAACAAAACAAATTCAATGGCACATCTACTGCCCTCATCATGCATTGTACCATTAAGTTATTTTCACCGGTTATGTATGTGTTGAACAAAATGAAAATCTTTTTCTACTAATCTAATTAGCAAGATAATATCATACTGTGTAGGCTTGTAGCTATCGATTATTTACATCACATTATTTACTGTGGAGTTTTTGACCACTAGTAACCCTATAGAGCAGTAGGTCCCTGTTTGCTTTTGTTGTAGACAAGCACAAGGAAGCACTTGCATGCACATTTGGGTGACGCAATACACATCTCTGCCAATGGTTTCACACTGTCCCACTGATCTACAGGTGGTGGCAACATGCTGTGCTAACAGAGCAATGCGCCAAAAACGAAAGTGATGAAGACTGCCAGCAAACAAACATGGGTGTAAACAATGTAGGTTTCAAAATGTTAAAAAAAAAAAAAAAGTTTTCTGTGGCAAAATGTGTTATGAGGAAGGAAATGCTTTCATCACATTTGTCAGACCTTGAGGGGTTCACTCAATGCGTTTTGGTGAGTAACACTGAATGTAAACACAACTTTTGTGTGTTGTTTTTATTTGCAGTTTAGAAGAAAGAAGAAAATATCATACCAAAATACTTGCTGATAAATTTCCTGTTGAATGAAAGGCTTTTTGGGAGATGATGTTAGCTAAGATGAACACACTAAAAACCCATAATTGGAGCTACTCGTCCATGAAAATGGAGAGGATTCAATCTGAAACAGCATTCCAACCTCAAGAGAAATTGGAACAAAAAGCACATAATGCTCTGTCTTGAGAATTTTTTAGGCACTGTTGACACACTGCAGACAGATAAAAGCAAATAGTGGAGGAAAATAGAAAACTAATTCCCCTGGGAGTACACTACAGAGTGTAATTATGTTATTTGTTAGCCCTCTCTGTCATTACAGACTCACAGATCATGAAAGAAATCGATACAAGCCAGAGAACACACAAATGATACAGCAGCTGGTGAGCTTCTTCTGTGCAGCTCAACCACATTGACCAGCACAAACACACACATGGATAAACCAGTTTTAAGGATAAGTGGCTGAGCAGGCTTGACAGGCACAAGTATAAACCCAGTGAAGTGATGAAGAAGTGCATGACAAATGTAGGAGAGGGAGAGGCAGAGAGAGCAGGAGGATGAATAGAGCAGAGATCAATGGCTAAATGAATAGAGGCCGAGATAAATGGACGTGTACAGAGGTGAGGGATAAAAGGAATGTATGACAACCCAAGGGATGGATAACTCAAGAAGAGAGAGACCGTAGAGTCGATAAATAAGGAGAGTTCATTAGGTTTCTACCTGCGCTGCCCCTGGCAACCTCCCAGGCTCAGAGAAACACACAATAAACACTCCCCTCTCTGATCTAAATAAGAAATAGGTCTAACCAATGTGTTTCCGTAACCTAGCTGTGGCACCCTGGGTTGTTCACCAATGCAAAGCTCTGATGGAACTAACAACTTGATGGAATGACGCAACATAAGATGTGTCATACATTGCACAAGTGTGTGTGTGTGTGTGTGTGTGTGTGTGTGTGTGTGTGTGTGTGTGTGTGTGTGTGTGTGTTTATTCAATGTCTCATTTGACAAAACTTGTTCCTGTGAGCTAGCTAAAGTTGACAGTTCGTTCCACCCACGCCTCTGCTTTAAATTCTCTCTCTCACACTCACACACACACACACACACACACACACACACACACACACACACACACACACACGACAGGCAGTCTAAATGAGCTTCTGAAGACTTCTTCCAACACAAACAGGTCTCATTTGAGTTTACATTCCTAATCCTTGCTGTAAGTGTGCTTGCATGTCCTGACAGAGTTACCACAAAACACCTGAGGCAAACACACAATACAGAACCAATGTCTTAACATGGATTATTACAAAAACTACAGGCAACCGGCACTATCAACACTCAGAGTGTCCTCCGGTGCTCGGTGGTGAAATGAGAACATACCTGTCGGGGAAATCTGGTAGAGAGAGAATTGAAGCTAGCCCAAGTGAGAATGAATCAGGGGGACACCCACAAACGCATGCATCCCTCCCTGCTGATTACCTCATTTCCTATTACACACATGCTTTGGAGCCTTCTCTTTTTTCAGGAAGTGAGTGGGCCAATAACAATGAAGTTCTGAATGGAGGGAAGAAAGAAAGCAGAGAGATAGATGAAGTGGGTGGTTTTGAGAGCAACAGAGCTGCCCCAGCTGCTTTTTCCTGTGATACAGGGTGCAAGCCTGGTTAGGCTGATTACTAATCCCTCAAGGAATGAAAGCTATACGGAGACGGGGAGTTGTGAAATAGATCACATAAGCCGAGCTGAAATGAACCTAAACTAGCTCATGTTTCCACAGCTGACTCAACTTTTCTACAGACACACCCAAACCACTAATAACTGTTAAACCGTGCTGACCAAAGTCAGAATCAGGAACTATAGAAACTTGCCTTCCCGCTGAATCTCCAACCTAGGGCCAGTCAACAAGCTCAATCTGTGACTACACACACTCATTTCAGCTTGAATTGATGCAAAAGCCGTTAGGGAACTATTTTGAGGAGCTGTGGGGTGTCCACGGTGGAGTCTGGTTATATAATTGTGGTCATAAAGGGCAGAGCCTCTAACATGCCCAGAGCTCACAGCTTCACCAGCGCTGCTAAGAGCCATTTACACTGCTGGTCCATTCCTAGGACTTTAGCATTTTGTTTGACATCTCTCTTCAGTTTACATCAAATCTTTTTCACGCTGTCTGTTGCCATCTTCTTTATTTGGACTAGCTTGGCCTGTGGTTAACCCTGTTGCATCATTGCCTCCCACCTTGCTCTCCCCTCAGGTCTTCTTCAATAAGCAGGTTGCTTATAGCTTTTTTTTTTTTTTTTTTTGGGGGGGGGGGGGGGGGGGTGGTTCTGCTTTTCTTCTGCTTTCTTTCTCTTTTACACACAAACAGGAGGGCTGCCTGGAGCTAAGCAGACATGACAGAGTCTGGTTTGTGTGTGTGGTTTTTGCTGCTGAGGGAGACAGATAGAGAGATCTGACAGGGAGGAATCCTCTTATAGCAGCCTACGCTCTCTTCTCCGTTGCCTCTAAGCCAGTGATGCATCTTCGTCCCTCCTCTCACCAATCCAACTCCCTTATCTTCCTGCAGCAAATGAGCTTGAAGAGACCAATGATTAATATCACTAATTTTTCAATTTTAACATTCTCTCTTTCCCTTTTCTCTCTCTATCACAGCAAGCAACTTTTGTTGTCACAGTTAAATAGCTCTCTCATAATTTATCAATATTCAGCCTTAGAATTTCACATTCAAATACCACTTTTGGAGCAAATAATTAGCTTGCTGTCTTTCAAAAAGATTTTTCATAGAAGTAAAAGTATGCTACATCTACTGGTATCTATGTCTACAAGAATATACTTTGGCTGGGTAAGTTAACATCTGTATTTCACCTATACTCTGTTTGCATATGCAGGTGCAAAATTAGAGAGGCAGGGATTGAAACAGTTTTCACTGCTCAAATTGCTCATGAAACTGTAGGCATGGGCGACTCCAGCTATGATGCTGGATGACAGCAGAGCCAGTGTGATCTTCCTGCTCCATGACCTGCCGGGCTTCCCCGTCAAAAAGCATTAAGAGGTCTGAGACACTAGCAGCCACAGACGCCGCACATTAACAAGCCTGCGCATACTTTTTACGCGTGCACTCACACACATCCACACCCGAATGACACCACTTTAACAGTACAGGATCACTCACACAACAAACACATCTATTGCTAAGGGGAAAACCTCCCTTATGACAAAGGCAAACATGGATATGTAAAGCAAAGGACAACCAATGAATCAAGCCACAAGTAAGAGCTTATTTGAACAACAACTAGCACACCACCAGGAGCGCAGCCTTAGTGAAGGACAGAGTGTAAAACAAATGTTTTTCAAGTTCTGACAGCATGTGCAGTAGTGAGGGAGTTCATGTCATACAGCAGGGCTGCCATGGGGCTCTGCGGCAAAGCTTCACACTGTCCCCCTCATACAGGAAACCCCTCAAATAGTTGAGTGGCACGGAGGAAAGCTGCATCACATGATAGCATTTAGAAAAATCCTAACAACGCATTATCTAAAATACCAGTCTGCAGTGACTGCCAAACTGACTGACAGACACATGCACAGAGGAATATCACCTGAGGATCTTTACAAGTATCTTACCAAAGTCCTCACAGACAACACAGATACATACACATACATACACACACACACACACACACACACACACACACACAAACACAGCAGTTAAAGTCGAGTACAAAGTCTTTAGATTAGTCTTCTACAGCAGCAAAATGGTTGCTATGAAAAGCTCGTTAACCTAACGTGTTGGACAGCCTTTTCATCTCGACTGATGTTTTACGTCATGGTATCTAGCTGATTTAACTAATTACTATACCTGTCCTTGAGCACTGCTAATCAGCTAGTTTACCACCCTGACAACTGGTAACACAGTTTCCAGTTAAACAACGTGAAATTCTGTCTGAACGCACTGGTAGCTCAATGACAAACATTAGCTTTCCCTGCCATCCTGGTTATTTCCAATGTATTTTTTAACCAGTATCAGCCAGAGGCTGTAAATTTATCCTCTGCCGTCACACTCTCTGTCTCGGCTTGCTGAATGACTTCGAGCTGTCACTACGGTTGCTTACATATTAGCTAGTTAGCTAGCGCGGCTAAGGCGCGACACCAAGTAAACTGGGGAAGTTAGTTTACTTACTGGCATGCTATCTGTCAATATCCTGGTATCGCTGTCCTCTGTGCTTCCGACAAGACGCGTAAACAGCTATTAGTTCTCTACTCTATAAATCTCCTCAATAATTCAACAACATCGGCTCCTTCCATCTTCATTACTTTCTCCACTCAGACTACCTTAGACGAGGGGGACACGGTTTGCCCGGAGTAACTGAACGCCTGAGCCAATGAAGGAGCGGTATGTAATCTAACTGCCGCACCCCCCAACTGTAGTAACCAATCAAATTAGAGTCTAGGCTGCATGTTAATAATTTCCACGATCACGGTAGGTTGTCGCTGTCAGTCATTGCTCTTTGACAGCAGAGTGATCTACCATTAATGCTGACAATGAATCATATAAAGAAGTTATTTATTTATTTATTTATTTATTTATTCATTCATTCATTCATTCATTCATTCATTCATTCATTGAATATTATAGCATCGTAAGAATATACTTCAGCATATGAATTACAGTTTAATGATGTTTAGTCTTGTAATTTACCTTTGATTCGTTTGATTAAAAATACAATATATTCACATTTTAATCATGAAAGTAGTCAGATATAAATTTAAATTTTAATCATTTTATCACGCTAACACTGAATCTAGTCAAAATCATCAAGGACATATAGTTAGGGTGTCTGTATTAAACATGTAAAAAAAATTTTCATTTACTTGTTATATTTACAGAACCTTTTCATTATGAGACTAATTGAATGCTCTCGGGTTTTATCCAACACATCCTGCACACTTAATGCCAAATTAATCTGTAAAGCTTAAGGCCAAAGCAGTACTCTCTCAGATAAATAATGCATGACCACTTGACAATGACCTCTGGAACAATGGATTTTCCAAAATTAATCATCAAGATGGCATATGACCATGTGTTTGTTTGCTTTCACATCAACAGACGCTGGAAAGCTTCAGTTTTTAATCAGTTAATAAATGCAATGGGACTTTTGTGGATAATAAGCAGCAAATCTGCTCCATCTGAATGTTACAATAGCAAAAGGACACAAACAGTCACAACAAACCTCAAGTTGAGTTCCCATTGCCGCTGTAAGAAACTGTATCCTGTCTTGTCCTGTATGGCTCAATAGAAGAAATGTCCAGTGCAGTACACAACCTGACTACAATTTTCCCACGAGGCAAAGCTTTGCTAAAAGTGTCTAATCAGGTACAAAATTCTAAAAAAAAATAGTGATGCATTCATTATGTGGATACCTGATTCAGGAATTCTAGGATTTAGTCAATCTTTATCCATGAAATGGAATTTCTGAGACAGACTACATTTAAGGAATATGAATCAAAGACCAGCTGTTACAATAGTAAAGTAGGTCTGCAATGCCCCCTGATGTTAGTTGGTAAAATTGCACATCTAAAGGAAAATTCAATTATCCACACAAACAAATTTTATAGTAGGAGTGTGAGTGCAAATCTCTGCTATATTCCTGATAATTTTAATAAAATATTTCAAAGGCAGGTATGATCGCAAATCTTCATGTCCTTGTAACAAACATTAAACAAGACATTGCAAAGGCCTGCAAAACACAGTGTACAGTTGGTATCTTTACATACATGAGTGGCATTCTGTGTGTATGTGTCGTATTATCTGTTCTGTCACATTCCAAACATTCCTGATGTTGTTGGAGATGCCAGGATATGAATACAGATTACTGATTCTGATATGTGGCAGCCTTGTGCATGTTCACAAAGTGACTTTTACTAGGTTTGCAACTGACAAGTTTATCAAGAAAAACAGCAAGAGTTGACAAAAGTGTTTTCTCTATAAGTATCAAAGAATGTGTAAAAACTGTAAAGATACACAAAACTTAAAATGTAATTTGTGGATTCAAAGAAAGCATTTAAAATAAACTATGAGTAAGACCTTGCGATCTGTGAAGCCTCAGTGAGGACTTCTGCAGCTTGTTGTCTGTATCCCACTGCCAACTCCTTCGCCCTCTTCACTTCCCTCATGTTCTCCTCCAGGTTTGTCTTCAGTCTTCCGTGCTCCTGGTAAGATGGTGCTACTTGCCTAACTTGTTCAGCCATGTGATCCCTGCTATGGAGCAGCCAGTTGAGCAGTTCTTTAAGTGTAGTACCCCTTGACATGGTGGCTCTGGCGCTCTCAGAAGTGCCCCTCAGTTCCTCCTGAGCCAACTTCAGACTTGGAGGCAGTGGTTCCTCTTCACCTTTTCCCTCTAGCCCCACAGGAACCACACTGAGGGAGAAGTCATAGCCATTCATCTTAAGACAGACCCTGTATGTGGCTTCTGGAAGTAGAGAGAGACTGAGATAAACACAGGGAAGAGCAACAGCATGATAACCTGCCATCACATTGCCTGTACTGACAGGTACTGTGGGAACTTTACTGAGGAATTTGAGCTCTTAGTCTGTCACTCACGATGCTCCTCTCTGATCTTCCGCACGCATTCAGCAAAAGCCAAGGTATCACCATGGACACAGCCGCAGCTCTGTTGCAGGCTCCTGATGTGTCGGGCCATGGCCTCAAAGTGCTCCTGCTGTTCATTGAAGGTCTCGGCCATGTCAGAAAACCTCTGATCCAACTCTGGCACACCTACTCGCTTAATCACCACCTTGCCAATCCGCCCCACGGCCTTTGCTTCAGTACAGATAAAAAAAATTTTAAAAATCACATACACAGACACACAAAAAAGAGCAAGTGTAGCACTGATTCATCCACTGTTGCATGCATTGGAGTATAGGTTTGACAGACAGATATAAACAGTTAGAGAGATGTACCACTGCATGCTGGTTGGATCTGCCTGGCTGATGCACTTTCATTCAGCTCAGATGCTCTGGGCTGCAGGAGAGGCTGCCTCTGAAATAGCAGAATAAATATAATCTTTGTTTCATTTTTTTTACTGACAAACATAAAGCACTAAATATGCACTTGTGTTCATGTGAAACCATAATTAGTACTTTGTCATAAACTGAGCATGCTGTTTGTGACAGAACTATAACGTTATGGTGATTTAGGAGATTTATATTTTATTCTTTTTATAATCATCATAATAATCATTATTATTATTCATAATGATTTGTTTCTATGACATCATTATAGCATGATTCAGATACATTAAAGGTTTATAATGGGTGCAGTCCCCGCCATGCTTGCATTTAAATAGGCTAGTAGTAATAGGTTAATCCAGTAATTTCACTCAAGCAAATCGGTAATGAACTCTAAACTCCAGGGAGGCTATTATACAATCCCATCAGCATTTATACAAAACTCAAAACAGTTCAATCACATACCTCGCTCTCGGAGTTTTCACTAGAGAAGCAGCAACAGCAGAGACAGCGATGCATTTTCTGCAGCTCTGGTGCCTGTCAGTTTGTTTTCAGGTCAGTTATTTCTGACAATAGGCTATGTATTTGTAGCCCCCATTCTGCGTGACGTCAGCGTCATGCGATTTCTGAAAAGCCTTTCTTCCTGGTTATGTGGTGAAAGTTGCTGTGCAGGTATGAACAGGGCAGACAGTTGCACCTGTAAGTTCGTGAGTTGCACCAGGTAAACAAACGGCTGCTGTCGCCATTAGCTGTATCCACGCCGTGTAAATGTATTTAAGTCTTAAATCTGCTATCCCAAAGGATGCACCTAGTGAAGTTTTTCTGTGTGTTTATTAGATCTATAAATTGTTAAATCTCTGCAAACTTGCAGGTCAATGTGTCATTTGTCACGTATGTCGCTAGAGGGCGAACGCGACTTTATCCAGCCACATCCGAACCGTAGAAGAAGAAGGAAACCACAACCCATGCTAAAGATTTGAGTTGTAGCTTAAAAAAATACGCCACGCTAACGGATTATTTTACTATTCCGACACATGACAGCAAGTTCATCTGTATACATTTTTATCTCTACTGTCTTTCAAGGTGAAGCCGCGGTCAAACTGGCGGCTTTTTAATTCATTAAAAAACACACAACAAGCTGCTCTTGGCTGGTAAGCCAACTGTCAACAAAGAGACCGCAGCTGCACATTGCTGGCAGTGGTGCTCAAAGTGTCGTAGTTTCATTGACCCGAACAGACAATATTAACCTGGCTGACATGACGGGGATAGCGTCTCCAGAGAAGGCGTCCAGCTCCAAGAAGAAGAGCGAGAGGAAGTGTGCCACCAAAGAGGAGTACAAACAGCTGTCCAGCATCATGGGTGTCATGAACAACCTGAGGAAACAGGTGTGTATGTGTGTGTGAGTAGACACTAAACAAGGGTGTTAACAGGAACTTTCATGTGCTATATGAGTGTGCGTGCGTGTATGTGCGTACTGCTATGAAAATGTATGTCCTCCTACCCTGTCTTGACACTTGTTATATATGTTTGTGTGTGTGCGTTTTCTTCAGGGTACCCTCTGTGATGTGACACTGGTGGTTCAGGGGAAACACTTTTCTGCCCACAGAGTAGTGCTAGCAGCTGCAAGCCACTTCTTCAGCCTCATGTTCACTAGTAAGTGTGCACACACATAAACACATTATCATGGACCGTCCCACTGAAGTATAGGGACATTGATATCAAATAGTTTTCTGCCATATTCCAGGAAGCATAGAGACGTGATGGGGAAATGCTCAGAAATAATCAGTTTTGTTTGAAAGTAGCTAAATTAGTTCTGTTTTCCACCAAAGCCAAAGAGAATAAAAAAGCAACCATAACTGAGGACCATGGGTCCTCTACGTAGACATTAAAAAATCCAATATTATTAATTTCAAAAAAACAAAATCATAATATTTATGATAAAGAATGATTAATTATACTGTTCTTTCCAAGCTGTTGCCAAGCAAGGCAGGAAAAATATTTAATGCTGCCACGTAATGTTTGTTGTTTCTATTTTTTATTGAGTCTTCCTCTTTTTCCTCACCTCCAGCCAGAATGATGGAGTCAATGTCCCATGAGGTGGAGCTCAGGAGTGCTGAGCCCGAGATCATTGAGCTGTTGATTGAGTTTATCTACACAGCTCGGTAAGAATTTTGGCTTAAAGTCGAGCATAAGGCTTGAAGGCTTAAAGGAAGGATAATTATGAGAATTACAGTTTAAAAATGATATAAACGACTGTGGTCTCATGCTGCCAATATGAGGTTCTTATCAAGGGACATATTGTTTCTTTTTTCTATGTTCTTGTTTTCTTATGCCAAATGCACTCTTTGTGTGTGTGTGTGCGTGTGTGCGTGCGTGCGTGTGTGTGTGTGCGCGTGTGTGCGTGGCAGGATCTCGGTGAACAGCAGTAATGTCCAGTCGTTGCTGGATGCAGCCAACCAGTACCAGATTGAGCCTGTGAAGAAGATGTGCGTAGAGTTCCTCAAAGGACAGATTGATGCAACAAACTGTCTGGGTAAGAAGAACCCTTTATCCAGGTTAAATCTTATCGCTTTTGTTTTTACCCTACAATTTGTTGAGTCATTAATGCTTCATTTATTGACTCACCAACATCAGTTATTGAATAATAAGTGGACCAAGGGCCAATATGTTCCAGCTGAGTACTTGTGCCTGTTTACACAGGATAAGAGCTTGGTATGTAAAGAGCTCTTTTGTTTCTTTAAATGTAAAGCAAATATTATTCAAATATTTAAATTACTTTTCCAACATAACATTTTGGTGTTAGGTGTGCCCATCATGTCACTCATTAGAGTAGAACACTGATCCTTGTTCTGTCATCCTGCAGGTATTTCAGCCCTTGCAGACTGTATGGACTGTCCTGAGCTGAAGGCAGCAGCAGAGGACTTCTTCCAGCTCCACTTCACTGAAGTCTACAAACTGGATGAGTTCCTGCAACTGGATGTGTCACAGCTCACACATCTACTGCACCAAGACAAACTCACTGTCCGTGCTGAGGCTCAGGTACACATGTAGACACTCTCTGACTATATGGTTCATATAATTTGTGCTATAATTTTTCTAGAAATCTGGAAAAGACCCTAAAAACCTTTTATGAAGTATAATTTGGATTACTAAATGAATGGGATTCATTACATCAGGACAAAGCTGTTTGATAGCCTTGGTTAATATAATGGTTAGAATATCCCCCATAACATATGTTTACAAATGTTTTGTTGTTGCATTTCTTCCCAAAGATTTATGACGCAGCAGTACGCTGGCTTAAGTACGATGTGTGCAATAGACAGCAGTACATGGTGGAGGTGCTGGGGTGTGTTCGCTTCCCCTTGGTCTCCAAAACCTTCCTCTCTAAGACAGTGCAGGGTGAGCCCCTCATCCAGGACAACCCGCAGTGTCTCAAGATGGTCATCAGTGAGTAGGAGTGTATTGCACTCATGAAGGCACACAAATGGTTGATATCATCTGCTATGTGTGAAAATGTGATGTTATTCTGGAACTGTCTGTGTTTTTATGTCTCAGGCGGGATGCGCTACCACCTGCTGTCTCTGGAGGATCGTGAGGACTTGGGAGAGAGCAGCCGACCGCGACGGAAGAAGCACGACTACCGCATCGCTTTGTTTGGAGGCTCCCAGCCACAATCCTGCCGCTACTTCAACCCCAAGGTGCCAGACTGCACTTGCAAACAGATTTTTACCCACAGGAACAATCACACAAGTCAAGAACTGTAAAATGTCGTATGGATATTTACTCTTGTTCAGTATTACAGCATAATCAAAAAGCTAAACATAAGGTTAATTTTCATGAATTTTAAGTTTTAAGTACAATTTCTCACCATTTCTGGATTACACGATGCACAAACATTGTAAATTATTTTTGTATAGTTATTTTGATTATATTAGCCAGCGGTTAAGGGTCAGTCTGGCTTTCCATGCAGGACTCGAGCTGGACAGACATCCGCTGCCCCTTCGAGAAGCGCAGGGATGCCACAGCCGTCTTCTGGGACAATGTTGTCTACATCCTGGGCGGCTCACAGCTCTTCCCAATAAAGCGTATGGACTGCTACAATGTCCTGAAGGACAGCTGGTACTCCAAACTGGGTCCGCCCACACCACGCGACAGTCTGGCTGCCTGCGCCGCCCAGGGCAAGATCTACACATCTGGGGGGTCGGAAGTGGGTGAGCATGGGGAGGTGGGAGAGAGGGGAGCTGGAGTTCAGTGTGTTTTCATTTTGACTTCCGTGTCTTGGGTTTAGAAAAAATACAGGAAATTATATTGATGATCCTTAATGGAAGAAATACCAGCCGTTTTTGCAAATATCTAATCGCGGTGTTACGTACTGTACGTGTGTGTCTACAGGTAGCTCAGCCTTGGACCTTTTTGAATGTTATGACACGAGGACGGAGTCGTGGCAGGTGAAAACCAGCATGCTGTTGGCCCGCTGCAGCCACGGCTCAGTGGAGGCTAACGGGCTCATCTACGTCTGTGGAGGAACAGTGGGCAACAACGTGTCTGGCAGGGTCCTCAACAACTGTGAGGTGTATGACCCCAACACACAACAGTGAGTCGCACATACACACAGCTCTGTACGGCCCTTAAGGAATGATGCACAGTGTGTTTGTGTGTGCTCACAATCCTGAGACATTCTTTTTCCCAATAGGCTTTATATGCAGCGTGCATGGATATAATAATGAAAAGGAATATGAGGGAAGAGACTGTTGCATTATGGATCTATACTGGCCTTATTATTTACACCATTATGCATATAAACATTGATTTGTTTGGTGAAAATCACTTGTCCCCAAAACTGTCCATGAAGTAGGATTTTTTTTTAACATGGCAATAATGTTTTTTATTGTAACCAATGGGTTTTAAAGGCTTTTATCAATTAAATAGGTCATATGAATTCCTCCACAAAGAGGCAGGGAGATTTTTACCAATATAAAATCTTAAACTGGAGTTACAATATTATAAGCTGACAATAATGGTATGCACATACACACAAAAGTGGTAAATGAAATAATGATGTGTTGCACTGCTACACTTATCACTTATCTCCCTCCCCCTGTCCTCAGATGGAGGGAGCTGTGTGGGATGAGAGAAGCCAGGAAGAACCACGGGCTGGTGGTGGTCAACAACAGGATCTATGCTGTTGGAGGGCAGGGGGCACTAGGTAATAAAACTGAAACTGTAATAATACTAATACTGTTGAACACAGTAGCTGTAGTACATGGTATGTGAAACAGTGCCAGCGGCGTCTGTATGAAACTGCTTTTGTGTGTGTGTGTGTGTGTGTTTTGTCGGTGGACTGGATTCGGTGGAGTACTACGACATCGCTAGTAACGAGTGGCGCGCTGCCTCGGCGATGCCGTGGCGAGGTGTGACGGTGAAGTGCGCGGCAGTCGGCGATGTCATCTATGTGCTGGCAGGGTTCCAGGGTGTGGGGCGGCTTGGACACGTCATGGAGTACCACACTGACACTGACAGGTTTGTGTATTAACTAAATATTAAAACTAAATAAAACAAATGATATCACCATGAGTAGAAATTCCTTACGTCTTTGTCACCGATGCAGGCAGTGGTGCGGAAACTTTAAAAATTATTTAACTGACATGCCAGCCGGTGCCATGACATCTCTCCTGTCTGTTTGTTTGGTCAATACAAATGATTGTGATCTGCTTTTGTGGCTCAGGCTGTTTCTGATTCACAAATTCTTGAATTACTTTGTGTGGTTAATTTAGCTTGGTGTTCATCACCAATATTCTTACTAGTAAAGACAAACCGTTGTTCACACTGAGTTGGAGTTCTTCACAAATTAATTCTGTCACTCATAGGGAATACTGGGAATCTATAAAAATACACAATAGCTTGTTTAAACACTAAATCTTATCACCCACACACTAACTGAAAGTTCTGATCTTCTTGCATGTTTCATGTTGTTTCTAAATCAGTTTTCTTCTGTGTTCAGGTGGGTGACCTGCAGCAAAGTGCGAGCATTTCCCGTCACCAGCTGCCTGATCTGCGTGGTCGACACGTGTGGAGTCAACGAAGACGAAGACATGGAACTCATAGACTCTCAGTCACACACTGCATCCGCTGCCCCTCCATCTGCCTCGACCTCATCATCCTCATAGGATGAGGGGGAAGTTTTATTGTATTTTACATTGTGATGTTTTATGAGAGTTGTGGCTGCCACTACATTAGGCCTCCAAAAGTATATGGAGCTGATTTACATGAAGCAGGACCTGGCTTTTCAGGAAGAGTCTGTCTTGCCTAGACAGCTCATGCCAATGTAAATATTCATGTGTGTATTTAAGTAGTTATGTTCTTCAGCTATGTCCAGTAGCCAAATTTCTTTTTTAACTTTTATCTGTACCTGAAACGCAGATCCTTATGTTAAAGCTCCAGTGGGACACTATACACAAATTCATGTTTTAGGGGATAAGGAGGCTTTTGATGAGAGAGACAAACCTCTCTCATGGATACCCAAACTGGTTTTGAAAAAAATCTAAAAAAAGAAAAAATACTGATGAATATAGTCAGAGAACTGAGAATTTGAGTTAGATGTTATTTTATTGTAATTTTGTTTTTGTAGCTTGTTAATGATGTACTGTTACAGAGTGTAGATATACTGCATTTATCAATAGTTGAATCTTGTGTTGTGTGTGTATATATATTTAATAACAGTGCCTCTGTAATGCACTGTAACTTATAACTGACTTTACAGAGAATTAATAAACATTTTATTCTCAAAATCACATGGTTATAAGTAAAAACTAGCTGAAAGTGATGCTTTAAAAAACATGCGTCTGAGTTTGATTTTATGTTTTTTTTTTTTTATATAGAAAAATGAGTAAACAATGCAAGATCACCAAATGCATCAGTATTAAGGCATCTGCGATAAAATGACATAAAATTTCATATATCGCTCATTAAGATGACATTAGCTGCCATACAACTTTCTGGTCAACAATGATGAAATAAGACATCTCTACATTCACTGTTTAAATCTTGTGCTGACGTAAGTGAATAAAACCCTCAGGTTGGAAAAAATTGCATTAATTACAGAGACTTGACTACTTTGATAAAAGCTGCATGCATATGTTTTGACATCACATGATTTGAGATGGCAACAGAACTTTGAACATAATAAGCAGGTAGTTAACACTGAGGGAGGTTAAATTAGTGCAATACAGTTATAAAGGTTGACGCACAGTGGTAAACACGAAGAGGTGTTGTTCTTCACTTGAAAATGACTGTAGCATTCCCTGAGCATGTTTTATAAACCACTGGAATGTCCTCCTTCATTTGGCCCCTCGCAAGTGCTTCATATCGATTGGCTCATTTTTCTCCGCCTCCTCACCAATCATCATCAGACTCTTCCTCGCTCATCAAGAGAGCAAACCTGTTGTTTATCTCCTCGGTCCCTTGCCCCCTTCCCCGCGCTCCTCTACCGCCTCCCCTTCTTCCTCTCCTTCCACGGCCTCTGCCTCTCCTCCCTCTGCCTGTAGCCGAAGAGGAGGGATGGGCTTTGGAGCTGCAGTTCCTCACAACATCCAGGAGGGAGGAGTAGAGTTGTCCAGACAAGGAGCCCCCGGCTAGGAGAGATTCAGCAGCTCGGCCCCCCTTTAAATACTTGAGGATGCCGTGCACCAAGGTACCACTGAACAACCTGAGACACGCACAGTGAGGAGAAAGGAGGCAACCAAATTAGAACAAAAATACAATTTTTCCATTTGTCACAGTGGTATCTGCAGTTAGTTTGAGATTTGTTTCAGGTCCACTCTCAAAAAATGGAGGAGAATGTAAGTTTTAAATTTTCACTTTGAAAATTATATTTAAAAATTTCTTCAGCAATGTGCTCTTCTGGAAACTCAGCCCAAGATACTCTAGAAAATCCACAGACAAAAATGCTGCTGATTTCTGATGTTTTAAGCACCACAAATGAAATTCCATCATCCTCTATTCTACTAAGGTGGCAGCAGAAACATCAAGAGACAGTCACCTCAAAACCTCTGCAAATAAAACTAAAACTAACTGGAAGTTTTTTTTTTATAATTTCTGTGAACCAACCCTTATTACCCTTGTATTAATTACACTTATGTGAAAAGCTCTGGGAACCATCGCCAAAAGCAATTTATATAATGTTCTCATCAGTGCTGAAACAATTAATCAACTAGCCAATCACCACAAAATTAGCTATCAACAACATTGATTAAGAAAATCATTAAGCACAAATGTATCTTGTGATAGCCATTTATGACATTTTATAGAACAAACCAACAAAATAACTGATAATTAATTAATCTATAATAAAAATAGTTGCATTGTTGCAGCACGTACATTGAAAATGCAAACTGTGTGTTATCTCTTTTACGTCCCTGTGTCTTACCATGACAAGTGGGGTTCAGGCAGCGGCTGCAGCAATAGCTGATTGAGACACAGTGCACTCCAGAGGCAGGCCTGCCATTGGCTCAAACTGTGAGCCACTCCGACATCCAAGCCCCGTCTTTCCCCTGGTCTCACACGTTGTCGGTCCAGCCCTGACAACACATTGCGCTCCGCAGCCCAGTTTAGCTGTGGGACTAGGATGATACACAGCAGCAACAGGTTTTAGATCATTACGGATGGGTCACTATTTGCCTTGTTCTTGAGGGACACTTTAGTCTCTGTAACCTTGTGGAATAAAATGACAGATAGAACGCAACTAACCAGCATATTGGTAATGGGTAGCTCCAGGCTGGTTGTTCCAGGACAGTTCTCCATAAACCATGCCCAGCACCAAAGCCTGGACCTGGGGCTGTGAGGGTGTAGGTATTGCCTCTCGCACCCAGAAGCCTGTCACTGCTACAGCGAGCCTCAGGTGGAGAGGAACAGCGGCCAGATCAGACTCCTTCACTCCTAAGACTTCTAACAGGACACCGAGACGAACAGCCACAGGAGCCTATAAAATCAATGTACATTTTCTTTTAGAAAATGGACAAAACAAATATGGTATACATAAAAGAAATAAATTTTGTTGCCATGTTCACCTGGCCAAGTGTATCCAGATGTATTGGGGTTCTCGGCGGATGTGCCTCCTCTTGGTTTTTCCTCAAGTTCAGGTCCAAACGGTCGTACTCCTCCACACAAATGGGGGCACTGGAGCCCTGAGTCTGCATTGTACCTCCACCAGCTGCTTTTTCAATGCAATCCTGACCCCTACCTCCACTGCTGTGACCACCTCCTCGTGCTCTTCCCCCTCGCCCTCTCCCACCTCTCATACCCTGGCTGAAATTTTCTTGTACCATGGTATCCTGTGCTTGGACACCACTCCCTGGTCCCCTCAATAGCTGCACACTGCCTGTTTGCTGTAATATCCCATATATAGCCTGACGTATCTTTCTAGCACTACAGTGGCTGCTGGAGAGTTTGCTGTTCTCCACCTGTGGAATGAGCAGGACCCTATGCATCACCAGAGCATCCACCACCAAGGGGGCCAAAAACCCTTTTGCTGCAGCCAGTGAAAGGCATCCTGGTAGCTGTGCGAGCCCAGAGGTCCAGCCTCCTGGAGCTGCCTTGCCTCCAGAGAACCAGTAAGCCAGAGAGCTTTGAGGGGTGAGGTGGTACTCCTGCATACCTGCCCACAGTTGTGAGCTGAGCCCACCTTTCTGTCCTCTCTTCCCCCTAAAACCTTCCTCCCCCATTAACCTGCTCACTTCCTCCAGGGCCTCCGCCGGGCTTGAAAAAGAAGACAGCCAGATAAGGATGCCCTCGATGCGGGAGGAGGGTGCTCTACCTTTACCCCTGCCACCGCCTCTCCCAACATCTAACACAGCAAGCAGTGTTTCAGCATCTTTTGGAGTGCCATAGTCATTACCGGTTAGGACAGCACACAAGGGTAGCAACTCCGGGTTCATTCCCCCAAACCAGTGACAAAGGCCATTAGTGGTGTAGCACCGAGCTGAGATGTAGCGATGAGAGGCTTTACCGTTAAGGTTGGTCCACTGGAAAAAATTGAATGGCAGGTAACCACCTAAGATGACACATAGAAGACAAAAACAATATGGAACAACTACAAAATCAAGATAATAAAAATCAATCCAATTCATTACAATGGGCATTTGGATACAAAAGTCCTGGCACTACCCACACCTGGAAGGTCAAAGATATAAAAGTCACTGTCATTGGTCAGAACTGGGCACTTCCACTGGTGAGCCAAACATGCAATCTCCCAGTCAGCCTCAGCTGAACACTGGTATATTGGGACTCTTCTCTGGCTGAGGACCTGAATGAAGACATCTCTTGTGAGGATGGGGAGAATAGAGCCACTGCGGCCATGAGAGATATTGTCTGCCTCCTTTATCTTGGACTGCAGACGTTGACGCAGAGTGGCAAACTTCTTGTCACTGGGGTCCATCCCTTATAGTCATAAAAAAAAAGACCCAAATTACATAATTATGGGTGGGTTACAACTGCAGACACACTTCAGACTTTGTGCAGGATCAAGTTAACCATTTAATCAATTTCTATCAAACATGAGCAAACTGCTGTCATTTAATCTAATTCACTAATCAAAGCACTGTCTATACTAACCAAAACACTTGATGTCATTATTTAAGTCAAAGAAAAAGAAAGAAAGAAAATGGGGGGCTATTGATCACCTCAACCTAAATATAATATATATAATTCTCACAGTTAGAAATCTGTGTTATGACACAGAGGAACAAGATTATAAAACAGCAATTAAGGTTGCTTTAAAATATTCTCTGTGGGACTTAATAAAAGAGAATGGAAAATAAACTACCAACTACTACCAGGTTAGGATGACTGTCTGGTTGAGATGGTGTGAATCTGAATTGCTTTAAAAATAAGAAATGAAAGGATCTTGAAAATTTTACTGCTTTGAATTGTATCTTGCAAATAAAAATACATACTAATATTATTGATTGTAAGGAGTTGAGTTCTAAAATTAAGTAGCCTATAGGGTGCAAGAATTTGATCGATTTGTTATTCTACAGCATCTTTACCTCCATCCAGTACCACATACGGCTGGATGTTGCAGGCAGCCAACGCAGAGAGGAACTGGGTGAGAAGTCGAGCGAAAGCATCATAGTCCCCTCCATGCTGCTGGTCCAAACCGTGGTTAAAGTAGAGGCGGA